AACCCAGCCTGGAACGGCGCCGGCTCCCACCCGCCCGGGCAGCACGGGACCAGGTACCAGGGGGAATCTATTGAGTCACAGATCATGTGGCAGCTTCTCTCCAGTGGTTGGCCAGGGGGGAGGGATGGAGGCTGTTCTCAGGGGCAGTGACTCCCCCCCACCAACGGATTTGAAAGGAGAGAGAAGCCTCCTGCTCTGACATGAACCCGCCAGAGCCCCCTGCGAATCAGCCAGGAGCAGCCAGCATGGGAGGCGGGATACCAGGCTAGATGGGCCCGTTGGCCTGAGCCGGTGTGGCCATGAGTAAGGGGGTGAAATAACGTCCAGGCTGGATCAGACAGCGCCCCCTAGCGCCGTGCTGGGGCAATGAGGCCAGCTCTGACTGATGGGGAGAGCGGCCCCTACTGAGCTCCCTGCCCTGAAGCCCAGCACCCCCTAGTGCTATAAATCCCCCAAATGTTGCTGGATCTGACCCCACTTGATGCCCGCGACATTCTCCCCATAGAATTTTCTGCTGCCTGCGCCCTGCGGTGTCCCAGCCCCTTGGGCGCCGCCTGGGGTGGGAGGGGCTGGGGAGGGAACAGATCAGACGCTCCCGGCACTCACGGCTGCTGCTGTTTCCCAGGCGGATCGGAATCGCCGGCACCTCTGGGTCTGACCAGCCCCATCATCGCCGGGGTGAGCGCGGCAGCCGCCGGCTTCCTCCTCCTCCTCCTCCTTGTGGCCTTCGTCTGCTTCAGAATAACCCGAGCCAGTGAGTTTCCCGCCCAGCGAGGGAAGGGTTAAACCTGCTGCTAAGAAGGGCGGGATGGGGTCACGGCTGGGATGGGAAAGCCAAGGAGTGGGGTGGGGGCTCAGCAGGGGGCACTGTTGCATGTGTAATCCCTGTACACACGCACCTGTCCCACCCCTGAGGAGCCGCATCTCAGGGCCAGATGATGGGTCCCCATATAACCAGTTCCCCTGCCCCACCCGCACCATCTGTGGCTGCATCTCAGCGCTGAGCAAGGGGTCCCTGTATAATGAGCTGTGGGCACCGTGCCTCTCAGGTACCTGTGGTGCCAGGGGAGCCGACCTATGGATCAGGTTCATTATAATGAGTCACTAATGAGGGAGGATTGGGGACAGGAAAAGCCCCCCGAGTTAATCTGCCCCTCCCCACAGCACATGCTTGGTGTTGTGCTGCCCCCTGCTGGTCCGGCCCACCCCAGCAGGGATCCAGGCTCAGCACCAGCAGCAGAGGGGACCTCCCCCAGACCCCCCATCCCCGCTGCCCTGTGGGGGTGAGTGGCCGGGCGCTGGGACCGGGGGATCCCGATCGACTCATGGGGGATTCTGGTTTGTGTCCCTCTGCAGGAAAAGGAGCCGCACTGAGACCGAGCAGGTAGGAACCCGGCTCCTCCCCCCTCCCGATCGAGCTGCCTGGGTCACAGGGCTTCTGGGTTCTCTCCCCGGCTCTGGGGGGGGAAGTGGGGTTGGGGGCCAGGACTCCTCAGACATGACCTGGGCCTGCTGACAGTGGAGGGGCACAACGCCAGAACAGCTGGAGTCTCACCACACCCGCCCCCCCTCCCACCGGAAAGCCGTGACCCCCCTCCCGCAGCTCCCAGCTGTTCCTCCGCTCCTGCCTCTGCCTCTCCCTCTCCCTGTCCAGCACAGCTCCCCAGCTCAGCTGCTCTGCAGGGAGGGGGCCGGGCTGCACGATGTGACTGAGCTGTCCGGGGGGAGTCATGTGACCCTGCTTCCCTCCCCCACCCATTTGTCACCTCTGCCTGGGTTCTGTGCCCAGCTCTGGCAGGGGAGTGGAGTCTAGTGGGTGTGGCGGGGGGGTTAGGGAACACGGTTCAGTGTGAGGCAGGATTGGGGGCTCTCTGGGTGTGTTGGGGAATCTCCCTGCGGGTGGGGGGATATGACATTTACAAGTGGATTTTTTTCTCTTTTAGCACCAGCCCCTTGGGGGTGTTGGAGGCCCCGGCTCAGCAAGACCCCATCTGTGAGTAATAGACCCAAGGGGGTACCATGGGGGGGGGCAGGACCCCTGGGGAGGGGCGGGGCTTGTGGGAG